CAAATCCAGAAAATAACATAATCTTTTAAATTAAGTAACTGCCTGAAAAACTTCTATAATACTTTCCCTCTGTAGTTTTGTCTTCAGACTCTTTATCTCTTGACATGAAAATGATTTTGGAACATCATTTTCTAGAGAGAGAACAGAAAAATTATTATGCTTTTCCTCTAACAGGATCAAAAAATTTATTATTTGTTGTTTAGAGAAGTTTTTGCATGTTCAGAACCTGTTACTGATAATATGCACATCCTAAGCATTATTGTGAAACTTGGGAACCTCTCTCTGTCGTTTCTTCTCTCTCTGAGCTGTAACAGACATTTACAGTACTGCTAGACGTTTGTGTCCAACAAACCCAGGAATTCTGATAAATTATATTTTGTGTGATTCCTGTCACAAAAGGCTATGATTAGCTATCATTGTAACCAACGAATAATCAAGAATATTCCCAAAAAGAGAGGACTTCTTTCTTGACCAGGTATTAATAAAAACCAAATCTTCCATTTGCAATTTTACATTTTGATAGATTGGAAAAATTTCCCACAGAAATCTGTTGTTATTTATTTTTATCCTTGTTTTTTTCCACTGCCCACATACCTCTGGGGCTGGGTCCCAGAAGATCCATTTAAATTGTAATAAGAGTTCTGACTTGTACCTTTGTGTCATGATGCTGGGTAAGTTGGCACAAAAGGCAGTAGAAGTATTCCTGGAAGCTATTCCTACAGTGGGCATCTAGCAAAAGTGACTGATAACCACATAAGGATATCCTACTAAACCTAACTAAATCTATCCCTGACTCAGGTTCTCCTTAAGGCCAGAGGCCATTCCAATGCCTCCCGGTGACATAGGGAAATTGCGATGGAAGATTTATCAGAACCACCAGAACCAACAGTCATTAACATATCTTATTTTGCAAATTTTACCAAAACATAACATTGTGTGAATATATTGTTAGGGCCCCTCCCAGACGCTTGGATGAGGCTTGTGCAAGTGAAGGGCCCTGAAGCTTAAGCTTCATTAGTTTCATGATAAATCTGCCTATGCATAGAGTTGATATAAGGCCTAACTGAATTAATATATGGAAAGCATTTAGAACAGCCCAAGTAAGTGCTCAATAAATATTATTTATTATACATTACTGATATAGAAATAGATAAATACAGCAGACTAGCAAGTCCAGAAAGAGACTCGATTACATATATACATTCATTTATTGGAGGTAGATTATATTTCACTATTCCAAAATATACACCTGAAAGAATAAATCTATATATTAAAGAAGACTGATAACAGAGAAGAAAAGAAGAACAACAACAACAAGACAAAAGGAACCACAATAAAGTGCAAGTGAAATGATCTGGTTTTGAGGTGGGGAATTTCTTTTTTTTTTTAGAAATTAAAAAAAAATTATTTTATTTATTTTTATTTTTGGCTGTGTTGGGTCTTCATTGCTGCACGCAGGCTTTCTCTAGTTTCGGTGAGCAGGGGCTACTCTTCACTGTGGTGCACGGGCTTCTCATTGCGATGCCTTCTCTTGCTGTGAAGCATGGGCTCTAGGCGCGCGGGCTTCAGTAGTTGTGGCTCGTGGGCTCAGTAGTTGTGGCTTGCGGGCTCTAGAGCGGAGGCTCGGTAGTTGTGGTGCACGGGCTTTGTTGCTCTGCGGCATGTGGGATCTTCCTGGACCAGGGCTTTAACCTGCATCTCCTGCATTGGCAGGTGGATTCTTAACCACTGTGCCACCAGGGAAGCCCGGGAATTTCTTTCTAAACATAACACCAAGACTAAATCCATAAAATAAAAATACTGGCAGATTTGACTACATAAAAATGTTAAACTTGTGTCCATCTAAAAAATAAAGCTATTAATATTAAAAGTAAAGAGACAAATGAGGAAAAAATGTTTGTGTAATTTATGACAAAAGGACAGTGTGCTTAATAAATAAAGAGCCCTAACAAATCAATAAGATAATTACCCACTCATCCCCTTTTTATTTATGTATTTATTTATTTATTTATTTTTGGCTGCATTGGGTCTTCATTGTTGCGCACAGGCTTTCTCTAGTTGCAACACGTGGGATCTACACTTCGTTGCGGTGTGCGGGCTTCTCATTGCGGTGGCTTCTCTTGTCATGGAGCACGGGCTCTAGGCGCACAGGCTTCAGTAGTTGTGGAGCACAGGCTTCAGTAGTTGTGGCTCGTGGGCTCTAGAGCACAGGCTCAGTAGTTGTGGCGCACGGGCTTAGTTGTTCCGCGGCATGTGGGATCTTCCCGGACCAGGGATCGAACCCATGTCCCCTGCATTGACAGGCAGATTCTTAACCACTGTGCCACCAGGGAAGTCCCTCATCCCCTTTTTTAAATGGAAAAAGGACATGAACAGGGAATGCACAGAAGTATAACCTTTCTGAACAGCGACTCAGAAATGTGTGTTCCAGTTTTAAAATCTATGCATCTTTCGTCCCAGCAATTCTACCTATGGTAATTTATCCTGAGGAAATAAGAGCAGAATATAGAACTAAAAACAACAGCAACAACAAGGATATCAAAACATTATAATAAATTTTTAAAATGGAAACACCCAAGACAGATGATTGGTTAGGCAAATTGTGGTACAATCATATGACAGAATAATAAATATCTATTAAGGAATGTTTATTGGTATGAGAACGTCTTCTCAACCCATAACGCTGAGTGAAAGAGCAGGCTACAGAACAAGATGTAGAGCATACCATTTTGTCCTATGGGCTCAGAGTATACCATTTTGTTTTAAATATCTGTATTACATGTATAACAAAGACAAAATTTATAACCACTGTTGTTAATCTGATATATTGCTGGGTGATGGGACTGTGAGTGGTTCCACACACTTTATATTACTTTTCTTATTGGAGATTAAGAAAGAGGTAAAAATATTGTGAGGTTTGACTGCATACAATTATTGAGTTGGTTAACTGGTAAGTTATAGCAAGGACACCAGCATGTCTATGTCATAAGATGCAGTTTATTTCTTTGTCTTCCTCTGAAATGCTGTTAGGTATCACCTCTCATTTGACTAAATGCAATTGAATTCAGTTCAACACTCATTGCATACTCCTAGTGAAAGTCACTGGAGATGACTAGAACATATTACTTTCCTCAAAGAAGCTAATAATTTATTAGGAGGGGGAAACCCACTGGGACCTGCTTCAGCTAGAAATAAAATTTCTTTTTGGATTAAAAAAAAAGCAACAGTAAGGGCAATTTGCCATCCCGTAGACTAAATTCAGCTTATTTATGGAGTTCTTCTTTCTTTGCTTGTCATCCCTTTCTGGAATTCAGCCTAGGAAAGTAACATATGTCACCATGTGTACTAGTTTATAATTAGAACAAATGTGAGGCTTTATAAGAAAAAGAGCTATTGGCTAAATAACATTTAGTAAAACTCTAGAAAAGGCAATCAGGAGAAAGAAGCAGGAAGAGTTCTATTTTGGAAATTAATTTAACGCTAAAGAAAGAGAAGACTTTTAAAAAATATAAAAGGCAATTATTATGTCCTTAGGATTTTTATGTTTCAGGAGTGCGTGAAAAAGTAGCTGCTATTGGATTACCCTGTATTTGAAAGGATGAGTATTGTGCGTATAAATAGAAGCTAAGGTCAAGAAACTAAAGGCAGAAAAAGACTCACGTGTTCAGCAGAGACTGATAAGCATGTGAAATAAAATCTTTTACTCGTAAGGCTGCAATTATGCCTGTGACCAGAGTTTGAGCTCCAGGGAAGAGGGGAGGGGTAAAAGTCAGAAGGGTCCAAGATCGCCCTTCTTATAAACCTTAAACCAGTCCAAGACTTCACCAGACTTCACTATGATAACATTAACAGCAGAGACTTATTTCTAAGACCTCTGAGCCCATAGGGTAATTTTCTCCCCACACTTCACCTGTGGTTCCAACTCAGCATTAACACTTTTCAGAAAGATGTGGTTGACCTAAGCCCTAAAAACCACCATCTCCTCCCCCATTTAGGGTCAAGAGTTTCTGAGAAGGCTTTCCCAGAGGCATGGCCCCAGGAATTAAAAAGCAGACAGGGGCTTCCCTGATGGCTCAGTGGTTAAGAATCCGCCTGCCAGTGCAGGGGACACAGGTTTGAGCCCTGGTCAGGAAAGATCCCACATGCCGCGGAGCAACTAAGCCCGTGCACCACAACTACTGAGCCTGAGCTCTAGAGCCCGGGAGCCACAGCTACTGAGCCTGCGTGCCACAACTACTGAAGCCCGTGTGCCTAGAGCCCGTGCTCTGCAACAAGAGAAGCCACCGCAATGAGAAGCCCGCACACCACAACAAAGAGTAGCCTCCGCTCGCCACAACTAGAGAAAGCTCGCATGCAGCAACAAAGACCCAACGCAGCCAAAAATAAATAAATAAATAAAATGTTTTAAAAAGGGGCAAGAGACTTGAATAGGCACTTCATTAATGAGGTTACGCCAGGAAGCACACAAAAGGTTGTTCAACATCATCATCATCAAGGAAATGCAAACTAACACCATAACGAGATACAGCTATACCAGGACCTCAACGGCTAAAAATTAAATGGCTGACAATAACAAGTGCTGATAAGGATGCAGAACAATCAGAATGTTCATAGTCTCCTGATGGGAGTGTAACTTGATACAACCATTTTGAAACATTATTTGGCATTATCTCCTAAAGATGAATATACACATAATCTATGACCCAGAGATTCCACTCTTAGGGATATTCCCAACAGAAATATGTACGTATGTTCACCAAAAGACATGCCCAAGGGGCTTCCCTGGTGGCGCAGTGGTTGGGAGTCCGTCTGCCGATGCAGGGGACACGGGTTCGTGCCCCGGTCCGTGAGGATCCCGCGTGCCGCGGAGCGGCTGGGCCCGTGGGCCATGGCCGCTGGGCCTGCGCGTCCGGAGCCTGTGCTCCGCAACGGCAGAGGCCACGGCGGTGAGAGGCCCGCGTACCGCAAAAAAAAAAAAAAAAAAAAAGACATGCCCAAGAATGTTCATAGGAGTACAATTTGTAATAAATGAAAACTAGAGAGCACCCAAGTGTTCATCTTCAATGGACAGAAATGTAAATTGTGACATATTATCACAATGGAAATCTACACAGAATGAACTGATACAAGAGCAGAGATGAATCCTGCAAACATCCTGCATTGAATAAAAGGAGCCAAACCCCAAAGAGTACATACTGTGTAATCCTGCATATGTAAAGTTCAAAAACAAGAAACTAATCTGTGGTGTTATAAGTCAAGGTATGAAAATGATGTGAGGCAGTCTTCTGGGTGCTGTTGATGTTTTATTTCCAGATCTGGGTATTGCAGAAGTGTAGACCCACTTTTGAAAATTCACTGAACTATACTCTTAGGATTTGTGCACCTTTTGGTGTGTGTGTTAGACTTTGAGTTGCCAGAAAAATGTTGAAGGTTTGTTCTCCAAATTGTTACATTTCTTCTGGATGATTTAGTCAAGAAGTTTTCCTTAGGCTCTTACTGCTTTTTACTGTCATCATCCTTAGATTCGTTTTTGCTTGTTTACGTATTGGTGACGATATTTTTGCACACAATAAATGGATGTATTTTATTTCCCTCTTAAATAATGTTCCCATGCAGCCTTCCCTAAGACAGGAGGCTTATCTTCCCAGAGCAGGAAAGAGTGACTATTTGGCCTCCTTATCAAAGTGATTGGTCTAAAATTAGGGTGGCCAGAGAAAAGATGCAGTGTTCATTCCTGAGCCTCTTTTAGCCCCCTCGGAATGTAGAATTGAGAGCCAGCAGCCCTGCCATGGATCTGCTGCGGGGTGGTGGTGGTGGTGAGGTGACCCCACTGCCTGGACCTCCTGGTCAGGGGCCAGATGGACAATGTGGTAGCGATTCAGTGGAGCCCATGGCTCAGTGAAAGCTACGGTGGGGTCAAGCCAGCTGGAGAGCAGCCCTCAGGCTCTGAGCAAGATAAATAAAACTAGGTTACAGGTTAGAGCAACTGCAGGGGTCAGCTGTGGACACCAGAAGCCAGGGCCAAGGCCAGCTGCGCCTCAGTGGTCACCAGCCCCCACAGAGCAAAGGGCCAGCATGAGGCCACGATATCTTGAGGTCACCAGGGCCCCTTCCCTGTACCCAAGTGCTACCTTAGAGATAAGCTGGAGGAGAAGGGTGGAATCTGACAGATTGAGTTGTTTTGACTCTGAAGCAGCCTTACTAAAAGGGATTGGTCCCATTTCTGACTGGGACTAATTGTACTAGAACGGACTAAAATCCATGTTTCCGTGTCACCTAATCAGTGGGACCCAGTAAGGTCGGATTGCTTAAAGATAAATAAAAGAGCTACATTTCTTTGGCACTTCTGAGTATAGTGCAACGAAATTTGCAGCCCTCTTTCTCTCTTTTATTTTTTCTTGATTTTACCAACTTGTAAACTTTTGTTGCTGGAAATAGTTCATTTTAGGAATTTTTCTAGCTACTCGAATAGAATTTGAAGAGAAAGCTCCTGGCATTGCTACTCTCCACAATCATCCCTTTATTTATTAGTAAAACAATTTTATAGTTTCTCTTACCTTTCCATTCTATTCATCATGCAACCATCTATCTACCCACCCAAACAGTAACCATTTTTTGGAGCCATGTTCCAGGTATTGAGCTAGAAGATGAATGACAGTCCTTTGCTATCAGGTTTTGAATACAGAGGGTAAGCAGATAGCCAACACTGTTCCAGTTTCACCTTTCCACACATCCACACAGGCTTGTTTTCACTTTTGGTGTTTAGGCATATTAATTGCCAGGAATTGTTGAAAGTACTGGGTTTCTGAGTCTTATGACCCGTTGGCAATCATCTTTAAGAGCTTCCTTGCTTTGTAGTATGTCAAGATGTACATCTGCTGCCCTAGACCTGGAATCAGCCGTTTCTCTAAGGAGCCTCGGTTCCCTTTAATAGGAAATATATTTAGAAACCAGAATCTGGCCTCTAAGGAAGCTCATTTCTTCAGGATTGGTCATTATTTCTAGTTCTTTTCAGTGGACAGAGATGAGATGAAGAATATTAGGGGAGGAACAGATTTTAGAGGATAAAGGAAAACTAATTTTTCTCAGTCATTTTTCTGTTATCAATCATAGATTATTATTTTTGACTATAAATAATTACATCTGTTCTAAGTACCTTTATTTATAGTTTTTAATTCCCCTTTGAATTCATTCACTTAGGATAATTTACTCTTGTAGGTTTATTAGGACCGAGGGCAGGAACACTCAAGTGTCTTAATTATTTCCTGAGTCTATATACAGGACCAGCTATGTAATTTGCCATCCCATATAAAGTGAAAATGGGGGCCCTGGTTCAAACAGCAGTAAATAAGTTCCACAAAGGTACTAAAATAAAAAGCTTTTCTCTTTTGTTCACTGTCTCTCCCTCCCCGATCCTCCCTCCACCTGTCCTGGTGTTTCTAATTTGCTATTTAATGTCAGGTTCCCCTGGGCCCAGGGCTACTGGCAGGCTGAGTGCAGACCTCACAGGCTCCCTAGGGGGCAGTCCCCTTGGCAGCAGGCATGCACGGGGCACTGCAGCTGCCAGGTTCCCTTCCCTGGCGAGACCAGCAATGTCCCCTTCCCATAGGCCAGTTGCCCTCACCCACAGGAATGGGAGAACCTCAAAGGTATTGCGATCTTCGTGCCAGGACGTGGTAGGTATCTAGATTTGGGGAGGGGTGAGAGGTTTGCCCCGAGGCCAGGGTGTTTCTACTCTGGGGTGAGGTCAGCTGCCTGAGCCACCACCGAGTGCACTGTGCCCAACTCTGATCCTTCCCATGCCCTAGCCAAGGCTCCCACCAGGAACGAGGGTGCCAGTGGTTGCTGGGCAGGAAGGCAGGCCAGGTAAGGCCCAACGCACCAAGGTGGGGGGAGTGGGTGGCTCAAGCTGGTCCCTGGGAGGCAGGGAGTCATCAGAAGTGGGGGACAGTGCATGAGCCAAGGCTCCAAGCCTCTGGTGCATGCCCCGTCGTCCCACTGGATTTCACTTATGAAACACAAATTCAAAGATTAAATTCTTAAGAACTTCATGATGGCGACTACAGAGCATTAAACCCCAAACGTGGGGCTCTTCAGAGCACAGGGCTCTGTGTGCCTCCACTGGTCCTGTGCCCATGAAGTGGTCCCTCCCTGTTCCAGCAGCAATTTTATAAATACGCCTGGGGCCCCTGGGGTTCTTGGAGATCCTTTCGGGGGATCTGTGAGGTCAAAACTATTTTCATAACAACAGGAGGACAATACTTGCCTTTTTCACTCTCATTCTCTCAGGAGTGTACAGTGAGGTTTTCCAAAGGCTGCCTGACAGTGTGATCCTGTAACATTGAATTCAGAAGCAGAGAATTCAGCTGTCTTCTATTAAGCCAGACATTAAAGAGATTTTCAAAAATGTAAAACAATACTATTCTTCTCACTAATTTCTATTGTAGAAAATATAGTTATTTTAAATAAAAATATGTTACCTGTCATTTTAAATTTTTAATATTTATTTCTACATAGTCCTTTTTGTTGTTATTTTTAAGTGAATGAAGATATTTAAAATTTTCCAGTTTAAATTTCCAACACAACAAATATCGATAGATAGACCCACATAAACAAAAGCTGTTGGGGTCCTCAATACTTTCTTTAATGAATACATTTTAAAAATTGAAGTAAAATTCATGACACAAAATTAACCATTTTAAAGTGCATAATCTGGTGGCATTTAGTCCACTGTGTTGTGCGACCATGACCTCTATTTAGTTCTAAGACATTTTCTTTCATCACCCCAAATGGAAACTCTGTACTCATTAAACAGTCACTCCCCATTCTCCCCTCCCCTCAGGCCCTGGTAACTGCTAGTCTGCTTTCTGTCTCTATGGATTTGCCTATTTTGGACGTTTCATATAAACGGAATTATCCAATCTGTGACCTTCCTTTCACTTATCATAATGTTTTTGAGGTTCACCCACACGATAGCGTGTATCAGCACTTCATTCCTTTTTATGATTGAATAATGTTCCATTGTATGATATGACATTTTTTGTTTATTCATTCATCATTTGATGGATATTTGGGTTGTTTCCACCTTTTAGCTACTGTGAACATTCATGTACAAGTATTTCTTGGAATACATGTTTTTAATTTCTTGGGGTATGATACCTAAGAGTAGAATTTCTGGGTCAAATGATAATTTTATGTTTACTGTTTTGAGGAAGTGACAAAGTGGTGACTTTTTGGTTTGTTTTTTTGACACAGTGTTTTTACAGCAGCTGCATCATTTTACATTCCCATTGGCAATGTACGAGGGTTCCAATTTCTCCACATCCTCAACACTTGTTATTTTCCTTTTTTTTTTTAAATTGTAGTTATCCTAGTGGGTGTGAAGTGGTATCTCATTTGTAGTATTGATTTGCATTTCCATAATGATTAATGATGAGCATTTTTTCATATATTTACTGGCCATTTGTATATCTTCTTTGGAGAAATGTCTATTCAAACCCTTTGCTCGTTTTTAAATTGGGTTGTCTTTTTGTTGTAGGGTTCTAAGAGTTCTTTATATATTCTGGATACTAGACCTTTATCAGATATATGTTTTATAAATATTTTCTCCCATTTTGTAAGTTGTCTTCTTACTTTCTTGTTAGTGCATTGTTTTAAGTGAATTTTTATTGGAATATAGTTGATTTCTTAGTAGTATCTTCTGATGTACAAAAGTTTAAAATTTTGTTTACCTATTTATTTATTATTGAAGTATAGTTGATTTACAATATTATGTTAGTTTCAGGTATACAGCATAGTGATTCAGTATTTTTACAGATTATACTTCATTAAATGTTATTACAAGATAATAGCTATAATTCCCTGTACTATACAATATATGTTTTTTGCTTATCTACTTTATACACAGTAGTTTGTATCTTTTAGTCCCCTACCCCTAACTTGCCCTTCCCCTTTCCCTCTCTCCTCTGGTAACCACTAGTTTGTTTTTTATATCTGTGCGAAAAGCTTTTAATTTTGATTAAATCAATTTGCGTAGTTTTTTTGTTGTTGTTGTTTATGTTTTTGGTGTCATTTCTAAGAATCTCTTGCCAAATCCAAAGCATGAAGATTTACCCCTATGTTTTTTTATAAGAGTTTTTTAATTTTATGTATCATTGTAAATCAAATATTCTTCAATTAAAAAAAGTTTTATAATTTTAGCTCTTACATTTAGGTCTATGATCCATTTTGATTAATTATTATATATGGTATGAGGTAGAGTACTAACTTCATTCTTTTGCATGTGGATATCCAGTTGTCCCAGCACCATTTGTTGAAATGACTATTCTTTCCACCATTGAATGGTCTTGGCACTTTTGTTGAAAATCAATTAATCATAGATTTTTTGACTTATTTCTGGACTCTCTATTCTATTCTAATTATTTATATATCTATCCCTATGCCAGTACCACACTGTCTTGATTCCTGTAGCTTTATAGTAAGTTTTGAAATTGGGAAATGTGAGTCCTCCAACTTTTTCTTTTTCAAGGTTGTTTTGGCTATTCAGAGCCCCTTGCAATTCCTTATCAATTTTATAATCAGTGTGTCAATTTCTGCAAAAACAAAAAAAAAGTCATTTGAATCTTTGTAGGGATTACATTGACTGTGTAGATTGTAATGGGTAGTATTGCCATGTTAAAGGTATTAAGTCTTTTAATCCATGATCCCAGAACGTCTTTCCATTTATTTAGATCTTTATTTTTTTTCAGCAATGTTTTGTAGTTTTCAGTGCACAAGTCTTGCACCAACTTGGCTAAATTTATTCCTAACTGTTTTTATTATTTTTGATGCTATTACAAATGGAATTGTTTAAAAAAATTTAATTTTCAGATTGCTTGTTCCTAATATATAGAAATACAGCTGGTTTCTGAGTGTTGACCTTAGATCCTCCAACTTTGCTGAATTCATTAACTCAGTTTTTGTGTGTGTGTATTTTTTGAGATATTCTATATACAGGATCATATTATCTGTTAATTTTACTTCTTCCTTTCCAATTTGGACTCCTTTATTTCTTTTTCTTGACAAATGGCTCTGGCTAGGACTTCCTGTATAGTGTTGTTGACCAGCAGTGGTGAAAGTAGACATCCTTGTCTTGTTCCTGATATTAGGGGAAAGTCTTTAGTCTTTTATTATTGAGTATGTTAGCTGTGGGTTTGTTGAGTGTTCTTATCATGAAGGGCCCAATAATTTTTAAGAATGTTGGGAATTCCCTGGCGGTCCAGTGGCTAGGACTCTGCCTTTCACTGCCGAGGGCCCAGGTTCAATCCCTGGTCAGGGAACTAGGATCTCGCAAGCCACGGGGCATGGCAAAAAAAAAAAAAAAAAAAAAAAGGATTGTAAAGGGGTCCTGCTGGTACAGAATACTAGTTAAGAGCAAGAGCTTTGTAATCAGTCTAGGTCATTTGAATCACAGCTTGGCCGCTTACTTGCTTCATGACCTGCTTGGACAATTTATTTAATGGTGCGCTCCAGTTTCCTTATTTGGAAAATGGAGATTTATTTATAACAGTGACATGATCTACCTCAGAGTGGTAAGTGAGGATTACATGACTACTCACTAAAACAGTGCCTGAGGTGGAGTAAATGATCAATACATATTGGCAATTATTCAAAGAACTGAACCAATTTAAATGTTCCCTGGCAATTTCCATTCTGCTAAAGTCTACCCCACATAGATTTAGTAATTTGACTTTGCTTTTGATTATTTAATAGATGGTGCTTCATTTTTCAAATTTACATTTCTGTAACTACTGTAGAGGCTGAAGAGTTTTCAAATTTTTATCACAGTTGTGATTTTCCCCTTTTTAATCTATTTTAAATCTCCAGTTGTACTTTATTATTAGCCGTCTCACATATTAGTTTGATGCAGTCAAGTATAAGATAAATAACTAAAATCAGTCCAGTTTACACCACGTTAGCAAGGCTGTTGTCGTGTTCATAAAAATAATATTAGGGCTCCAAGGACATTGAAGAGCTGGAATTATCTGGCCCACATATTTTGAATCTTTGAAATAAGCCATGGAGACTGAACACAGTTGCTGTGATTCTGCTGCAGTGATATAAATATGACCTTCCATGAAAAAGCATGTCATGGCCAGAAGTGAAATTCAAAGCAGCAGGCTGGTTTTCAGAGTCCACATCATTAGAATAGGCTGCCTCTCTGGTTACAGCAAAGTAAATATAGACCAGGCTTATTATATGAACACATTTCATTTAACTTTGCCCATCTCTATTGATTTCCCAATTCAGTTTCAACAGAAACTGGATCAACCCAGTTATAAGTAGGTCTGCTTATTCTTTTCCCATCCGCCTCGGACATTTCCGTTCTTCCCAAGGCTAAGTTTTCCACCTTTGCTCTTCAGTTCATTCCCTTACTATCCTGCTGTTCTGTCTCTTGCTTTTCTTTCTGGTGACTTCAAACTCTCCTCTTCCACTAGCACCTTTTCCCGGTACCCACAAATATGTAAATATTTCCCCTAACAGGAAAGAGGTCCTCAACCCCGTGTCAGCCTCAAAGTGTCCCCCTTTCTTCTTCCTTCCTATCACAGTATTCACTCTGCTTTCTTATTTCCGGCCACTCCTCAAGCAACAATAGGATGGCTTTGGCCACCACTCCTCTGAGCACCTCTAAGGCTGCTGGGGATCTCCTAACTGCTAAATCTTTGTCATTTCATTTTTTTTTTAAGATTTCTTTTTTGACATGGACCATTTTTTAAAGTCTTTATTGAATTTGTTACAATATTGCTTCTGTTTTATGTTTTGGTTTTTTGGCCACGAGGCATGTGGGATCTTATCTCCCCGGTCAGGGATCGAACCCACATCCTCTGCATTGGAAGGTGAAGTCCTAACCACTGGACCATTTTCACTGGGTGTGATGGTTGACTCCTAACTCTTTGACACTCTCCTTGCCTGGGTCTGTGATATATTTTTATAATTTTTCACCTCTCTAACTTTTCCTTTTCATTTTCCTGCATGATGAGCTCCTCTTCTGTCTCCACCCTTAACCATTGGTTTACTCAGGATGCCATGCTTGGCGCCCTTTTTTTTCCCTCCACCCACATTTTCTGCATGATCTCTTCTGTTCCCATGATTTCAGCTAATGCCGGTGATTCTCAAATCTATATTTTCATCTCTGATCATTCTTATAAGCATAATACTTGTTTTAGATATCCAAACGTCTACTAGAAGTCTCCTCCTGGAGTCCCACAAATGCATCAAACTGAGCTGACATCTCCTTTGCCGGAAGCTCCTTCAGATCCTTATGAAGTAAATTGCTGCTAACTTAAAAAATCCA